CTATATAATTGGAGGCATGGCCTCTCTGGTTCCTGATCAAACTGCTTAATGGCCATGATCCCTGAGACTCAGAAACGAATCTCGGAACCCAAAGTCTTTTGGCGGAAATGCATCCTGTTCCTGCAGTAGGTTACTGGCACTGGGCCACTCTAGGTGGGAATAGGTTTCATGCCTTGGCCTGTTCCCCCTGGCGGCCCGGTGACCGCCATCCTCCAGAGGTCACTGGATGGTCAGATTTGGACCTGCAGTGATGAGACACACGGGGCCTCAACAGATGGGGGTGGAACCGGCCTTTTCCTCCCCATCCCAACTAGACCCCGAGTTACTGCCTTACAATCAGCCTCTCTGGCTCCTGATCAAGCTGATTAACAGCCATGATCCCAGAGACTCAGAAACAAATCTCAAAACCCAGCGGCTTTTGGCAGAAATGCATCTGGACGACATACAAAGTGGCCGCCGCCTCAGAGCTTATTGGAAAGCCAGGTACGAGTCAGCGGTGAAGGGACAACTGCAGTCTTATGGGAAGGGGGGCGATACCGGCTCATCCTTCACGCCCTACTGAGGTCACGAGTTGCCCCCCACAAGTGGCTCTCTGACACAGCCATAACACCAGACACACAGAAACCAATCTCGTAATTATCTGGCTCTTTGCAGAAATCCAAAATCATTATATGACATTGTATGATTCTCATACCACCTATAGAAAACAAAGTATTTCACAATGCCTTTTCAGCAATTCTGATTGTTGGGGGGGAAATTCTAAACAATAATGGTGCATCTTTTGTCAAAATAATGAATGTAATCAATGTAGAGAAGAGTTAAGTATAAATCATCTGCCTCACAGGCATTAGGAGGGGTGGGAGGGGGGGTATATTGGGGTTCTTGGTGGTGAAAAATGAGTACTGGTGAAGGGAAAGGTGTTTGATCATTATATGACCGAGACTTAAACCTGAAAGCTTTATAACTTTTGCCACAGTGATTCAATAAATAAATATAAGAAGAAAATAAATAAATAAATTATGGGAAAAAAAAGTAAGGTGGAGTTCATGCCCAATCCAATCAGCTAATCAGTGGCTGAATAAATAGCAGTACTCCTACATAAAACAAAAACAAAAAAAAAATAAAATTAAATCACTGTGAGTTGCAAAGTTACAAGATATTTATGATTGAGTTTCAGGTGTATGTTGTTCCAACACCAATCTTTTCACCAGTGCTCACTACGCTCCACTACTGGGAACATTGGTAACTAGTATCTTTATGGTGTGAAAATAGGAAGCATTCTCTCTTGGCTATAAAAATGGATAAGTTTAATATTTTTAGCCAGTTTAAATTCCTCCATCAGAAGAGTTCTTTTGCACTCCAAATAGGAGGGGTTAAAAATACTCAGAATTGTTTTTCTTTTTCTTTTTACTTTTTTCTTTTTGGGTCACATTCAGCCATGCTTATTGGTTACTCCTGGCTCTGAACTCAGGAATTACTCCTAGACGTGCTCAGGAAATGGGATGCTGGGGAATTGAACTGGAATCCGCAGCTTACAATGCAACTGCCCTCCTGTTGTACTATTGCTCCAGCCCCTTAGTCAGGAATTCTTTTCCCTTTTGTGTGTGTGTGGAAGAGGGGAGGAAGTTGTATTTGGAGGCTGCTTTTGGATTCAGGCTTAATCTGAATAGTTTGTCTATGGTGCTAGGGGATCATATAGTGGAGATAGAACTCAGGCTTCTTGCTTGCAAAGATTTTGCTCCAATTCTTTGAACTAATTCCTCCCTCTCTCCCTACCCCCTCCCTCCCTCCCTCTCTCCCTCCCTTCCTTCCTTCCTTCCTTCCTTCCTTCCTTCCTTCCTTCCTTCCTTCCTTTTTTTCGGTCCTTCCCCATACCCAGCTGTGCTTAGGGATTACTTCTGTCAGGGTGCCGGGATCATATAAGGTGCTGGGAATTGAACCTAGGTTGTCCATATTTAAAGCAAGCGCTTTACCCACTATCTCTCTATCCCCTGGAATCTTTTCTTACTTTTTTTTTTTTTGCTAAGGCAGTTGGAGAGATATTATAAGGGTTAAGGTCTTGCTTTGCATGTGGCCAACTCTAGTTTGATTCCCAGTGTCACTGTGGTTCATTGAGCCCCTCGAGGAGTGATCCCTGAATGCAGAGACAAAAGTAAGCACCCAACACCATTGGGTGTTACCAAAATTCTTTTTTTAAGTTGAGGTAATGTAGGTTTTCAAGACAGTAAATGTTTATGTTTTAGGAGTACAATGTTACTATATCACTTCCACTACTAAAGTGTGAACACACTTCACTCCAGTCCATTTCCCCTTCCCTTTTGGTAACCTCAATTTTGTTTTTGTTGGTCATTGTCTGCTTATTTGCTTTAAAAAAAAAACAGGTCTTTTTATTTTCTTCTTTGATTTTTGGGCTACACCTGGCAATGTTCATGGGTTACTTCGGCTCTGTACTTAGGAATTACTACTGATGATGCTCAGGGGACCACATGGGATGCCAAGGATTGAACTCGGGGTTGGCCATGTGCAATGCAAGTGTCCTATTGATGTTGGTGGGCCCCACGGGTGGCTTATGTGAGGCAGGGAGGAGAAAAATGGTCACTTTCTCTGGATCAGCCTCTGCCACCCCAAGACCCAGCTGGAAAGACTAGGACTGATCAAGTCTTCGATGAGCTCCTGCTTGGCACAGACCAGAGCCCGCACCAACTGCACCAGGTGGCTGTCAAGCCACACCTGATATCTGCTTGGTCTTTTTTTCCCCGATTTTTCGGGGATCCACAAACTCAGATTGGAACAAGGAATTGCTCTTTGCAGGAAAGGAAAGTCAGTCCTAGACCTTACCCAGGGTTACCGAGTTCTTTTCTTGCCTCCAGAAAAGAATTTCAGGAGTAGAGGAGCAGTGAAGTAAAAGATTTTATTCAGAGGGTTTTTTTTTAAGGTGAGGAGGGAGGGAAAGCTAGAGAAAGAGTAATGCGCTCAAGAGGGAGAACATGGACTTCTCCAAGGGCTGAGAGAGCTCCTACAAGCCCCCAGCATTAGATATGGAAGTTTGAAAGTACATGTCTCAAGAGGGAGAATGCGGATGACACATGTGCTCGACCATGTGGGTGCAAGCAGCACACAGGCTTGGGCAGCATATGCACTCTTTCCCTTTGCTCAAGGTGGCTTTTATTTTTTATTTATTTTTAAATTTGTATTAGTGAAACACCATGAGGCACAGTTGTAGACTTACAAATTTTTGTGCTTGGTTTTCAGTCATACAATGATCGATTACCCATCCCTCCACCAGTGCCCATTCTCCACCACCAATGATCCCAGTATCCCTCCCAAACCCCATCCCCCCCATCCCACCCTGCCTCTGTGGAGGGCATTCCCTTTTGTTCTCTCTCTCCTTTTGGGTGCTGTGGTTTGCAAAAGAGGCACTGAGTGGCAATCATGTTTGGTCTATAGTCTACTTTCAGCATGCATCTCCCATTCTGGGAGGATCCTCCCAACACCCTTTACTTGGTGCTTCCTTCTCTATCTGGGCTGCCTTTTCCCCTAGCATGTGCGGCTGGCCTCCAAGCCATGGAGTGAACCTCCTGGTACTTATCTCGACTATTCTTGGGTGTTAGTATCCTATTTTGTTACTTTATATTCCACAGATGAATGCAATCTTTCTATGTCTCTTCCTCTCTTTCTGACTCATTTCACTTAGCGTGATATTTTCCTTGTAGTACCACTTGTATGTAAACTTCATGACTTCATCTTTTCTAACAGCTGCATAGTACTCCATTGTGTAGATGTACCAAAGTATAGTTGAAATGACATCTGCACTTCTACGTTCATTGCTGCACTGTTCACAACAGCCAAAATCTGGGAAAAAAAAAAAAAAAAACCCGGGTGCCCGAGAACAGATGACTGGTCAAGGTGGCTTTTAAAAGGTTTTTCCAAGCCTTTTTAGGGGCTTTTTAGCTAGAAAAGAGTCCTTGCTAGGGTTGTTGCTAGGGTTGTTGGGAGTGGTCTTCTTTGAAACTCCTTATCTTGACCTTTGCTCCTGCTGGATCTTGTCTTAGAGTGACTTTAGTCTTCTCTAGTCTGGGCTAGCTGAGGTTTAATCTGATTAAAGCAAGGAATTGAGGGTTCTACAGTAATTCCCTTCGGGCCCTTTCTGTAAGGAAGTGTCCAGTCTCCTCTGGGTCCTCTGCTGGAGCCAGAGGTGCCATATGAAATAAAGGATCAAACTCGGGGCCTTGCACATGCTTGGCCCAGGGACTACCTCTCCAGCTCCCTTTTTTTTTTTCCTTCTGTTTATTTCTTTTGATTTTCAAAAAAATTTAAAAAAAATTTATTGAATCACTGAGATAGACCCTTACAAAGCTGATCATGATGAGATTTCAGTCACACGGTATTCCAACACCCATTCCTCCACCAGTGTTCCGTTTCTCAGCACGTGTCCCCAAGTTCCCTTCCATCACGCCCCACCCCTTCCCCACCCCGCAGCCTGCCTCTACAGCAGGGGCTTTTCTTCTCTCACTGTCTTTGTGTGTACTCTCCCCTTTTGGGCATTATGGTTGGCAATATTTACACTGAAAGGTTATCAAGAATATCCCTTTTCTACTTTTAACCCTCGGATCTTATCCAGCACGATCATTCCCAGCTATGCTGGTCTCTTCTCTACCCTTTGACCCCCACACACTTGTGGTTAGTACCAATCATGGACCAGTCCTCCTAGCCCCAGTTTTCCCTAACCCTGGATATTAGTCTCCTGCTATATTTAAATTTTATTTTTATACAGTTATTCATAATAATTTATGTCTCTGTTTTAAATGTGGTTTTTTCCCCCCCTTTTTTTGTTGGTTTGTTTTGAAACCACGTCAGGCCTTCCTCCTTCTGCTTAAGCTCCTTGGGTCCTAAGAGCGCTCACCAGGCCCCCCGCCGCAGCCTGGGGCCTCTCCGAAGCCCCGGGGGCGCCCGCCCAACGCGCCTGCGTCCTGAGCCCCTTTGTGGCCGGGGCTGGAGGTCGGGCCGCGCGTGCGCGCTGGGCGGGCGCCGGCGAGTGCGCTGCACCGCGGCTGGGCTCCGGCTGGGGGCGAGCAGAGTCCCGGCGGCGTCGCAGCCGTTGTGAGCCCCGCAGGCGAGTCGGGAGGGCCGGGAGGTGGGCGAGCTGCCCGCGGATGGCGGAGATGCTGTCCACCGTGGCGTTTTACCTCCTCTCCACCGTGGGGGGCTACTTGGTCACCTCGTTCTTGTTGCTCAAATACCCGACCTTGCTGCACCAGAGAAAGAAGCAACGATTCCTCGGTAAACACATCTCCCACCGCGGAGGTGAGAAGGGGACCCCGACCATCCAGTGGCGGGAGTCGTGGGGGTGGTGCCGATTTTTGTTTACTCCCCTTCTTTTCTTGCCCCCCTCTCCCCCCAGCTGGAGCTGAGGGTCCTTGGAGCTCCGCCGGAGGCGGGCGGGGGTGGGGAAATAGGGAGAGTTTGAGGAAGAATGGGGGTGGAATGTGTGTGTGTTGTGTGTTGTATGTTGTGTGTTTTTGTGTGTGTGTATGCGCGCGTGTGAGCTGGGCTCCCGGGGTGTAGACGCTGCGAGCCGGAGGTCTCCGGAGGGCAACAGCGGGGCGCGGGGGTCTTCAGACCAGGAGATCTCCGAGAGCTGCACTGTCGAGGGGCTCGGAAGCGGGGAAGGACCTGGGGAATGATGAGCCGGGGTGGGGGGAGGGTCGAGGGAGCGTTTATCGGAGGAAGGAAGATCTTGATTGTGGGGGGTCCCTTCTTTATCGCGGAGACCACTCGGGCTAGCGGGGTCCTGGGGAGCGTGGAGGAGACCACTTGGAGCGAGCCCCCGGGGTCGAGCCTGGGGAGCGTCGGGGAGCCGCGCGGGGCCGAGCAGCTGTGGGAAGGTGGAGCGCGGGGCAGCCGGTCCCCGGCTTTCCGCTCTCAACCCCCCAGCCCCCCAGAATCCCAAGGTCACCGTGAAGAGTTTGGGCAGGGACGGGACCGAAACTGGACGTCTCGGTTCTCGAGATTGCAAACCGTGCACCTGTACCTGGCCTTGAGGCGTGGGTTTACATAGACAAAAACGATTTAGTTATAACAGCGCTGTATTGTTTAAAGAAAAATAAGATTTTTAAGATTTTATTGCTTGAAGAAAAATAAGCTTGGTTGGTTTGGAAAAGTGTCTTGCTAGGGGCCGGAGTGATAGGTCTGTGGGTAGGGCGTTTGCCCTGCACGCTGTCGACCCCGAGTTCCATCGCCCGACGTCCCATATGGTCCCCCAGGCCTGCCAGGAGTGATTCCTAAGTGCAGAGTCGTGAGTAACCCCTGAGCATCGCCGGGTGTGCCTTTCCCCCCCAGAAAAAGCATCTTGCTACAGGAGCCTATATTATCCTCCTCCTTGTCTCCCAGCAGATCAAATCTATGCTTCTTAATTATCTTTACTTCATTTCAAGATTGATATATAAAATGTTGCCAAATTGGATTATTTCCATCACTTTTTTGCTTGGGGGACACACCCGGCAGTGCTCAGGGCTTGCTCCTGGCTTTGTGCTCATGGTTCACACCTGGCAGATTTGGGTGCACAAGGCAAGCACTGTACCTGCTGTACTTCCATTTTTGGCCCTATATCCCATTTTAACTGTTTTTTGTAAATGAATGTTAAACTGGATTAAAATTGCTTGCAACTTGCAGTCTAATTCTTTTCTTTTTTAATTTTTTAAATTTTTATGAAGTAATTCACAGTATTTGATTACATTCAGTTTTCGAACACCAATCCCACCACCATTACAACTTTCCACCACCATATTTCGGGAGTTTCCATCCTGAACCCCAACCTCTGCAGTCTAATTCTTGAAATGGTTAATTCTAGGAGTTTGCTCTCTAAAATTTGATTTAGTACTCTAACTTTTTTTGTTGTTTGGGCCACACTCAGCTGTGCTCAAGGCTCTCTCCTGGCTCTTCGCTCATGGATCACTCAATTTTTCTTGTGTCAAGAATAGGTCAGAAACAAGCTTTGAAATGTCACAAAATGTGTTAGCATTCTTATGGATAACCTGTATTATTTTTCAGTTAAACAGTTCTAAAGAGTGGCTTCAGTAACTAGGCTAGCTTGTTGGTCATGGGAAGTTTCAAGTTTTAAGGAGTCACTAGTTAAGTGTCATGTTATTTCTTGCTAATTGGGTAATCTATATTTTAACAGGTAACATAATTAAGCAGTGGGATGACATGTGACTGTTAATTTATTATCTTCCGTGAACACTAAAACCCCGGGCCTAAGAGATAGATATAGTTTAAGGGAGTGGAGCCCAAGCTTGGTATGCAGGAGGCCTGTTTAGATCCCTGGTTCTGTACATCCCCAAATCACCCAGCTGGGAGTAACTGACCCCTGAGTAGCCACTGAACACTTCTGGATATGACACCTCCACTCCCACGCCTACCCCCCAAAAGCCAAAATCTACTTTTAATGTTTAAATTGTTAGCATAGAAGCTGTTTTCCTTTCTTCTTTTTTTTTTCCTGTGTTCAATTTTGTGTATTATAACACAAATTACTATAGTGCTTTAATTTATGGGCTGGCTGCGCACAAGACAAACGCCCTAGCGCTCCAGCTGTATATATACTATATATACACATATATATGTATATATATAAAATTTATATATGTATATACAAATTTTCATCCACAGCACCCCCAATGGCTCCTAGAGCACCTCCAGATATGCCCAGGTGGCCCTTTATTACCACTGTGCTTAAGCAGTAATAGCATTGCTGGCTGGAGAATTGAGCCACAGCCAGCACAGCTAGGCTGCATATGGCCTATCTGGCTGAGGGACTCCCTGTTCCTTGGGCACTGCCTGGGAGGCCACCCCCATCAAATAAAAGGTACATTGTATTGAACTAGCACTAGTAATAAGTATTATTACTTATCTTACTAGACTCCAAGTTCTTCAGAGCAGGTTTCATGTGGTATTAATGCCTGTGTCTCTAATCTGTAGTTCGGGTCCTAGTTTGTAATTAAGATTATAGCTTATTGGAGCTGGAGCGATAGTACAGCGGGTAGGGCGTTTGCCTTGTATATGGCCGGCCCGGGTTCGATTCCCAGCATCCCATATGGTCCCCTGAGCACCACCAGGAGTAATTCCTGAGTGCAGAGCCAGGAGTAACTTCTGTGCATTGCCAGGTGTGACCCAAAAGCCAATTAATTGATTAATTTTTTAAAAGATTATAGCTTATTGTTTGCTAATTATCTGCTCTATGCTAGTTTCTTGTGTTTTCTGAATTGACCGAAGAACACTAATCATAGCTACAGTGGATTGATCAATAACAGTAATACCAAAGGATTCAATGGAGAGCAAGCCACATTCTGAAAAAAATGTTTTCTGGACTAGAGATGTAGCTCAGTGGAGCACAGATTTTGCATTCAAGGAGCCTGGGTTCTATCCCCCATATCTCCTGAACAATGCTGAGTGTGGGCCATCTCCCAGAAAAACCATTTCCTTTATCTCTGTCCAAATTGATAAATTTTATTCATATTTAATGTTTTCCTACTTGGATTCAGGCTGGAGGGAGGAATTGCTCTTTGCAGGAAAAGAAAGGGAATCGAACCTGGGTCAGCTGCGTGCAAAGCAAATGCTCTGCCCACTGTGCTATAGCTCCAGTCCCAAGAAAGCCAGTCCTAGGCCTTTCCCAAGGCTTATGGGTTTCTTACCCTACTCCAGAAAAGAATTTCAGAAGTAGATGAGCAGTGGAGTAGAAACAGATTTTGCTTGGAGGTGTTTTGAGGAAGGGGAAGAAGGAGAGAAAGGTCGAGAGGGTAATGCACTCAAGAGAGAACTTGGGCAAAAATTCAAAGGCAGAGAGAGCCCAGTATGCATCTCAAGAGAGGAGATGCGGGAGACACATGTGCTTGGGCACCACATGTGCCTGGCCACTTGGGCACATATAGCACTTGGGCTGGGACTGCATATTTCTGCACTTCCTTTGTTCAAAGTGGCTTTTAATAGGGTTTTTCCCAAGCTGCCCCAGGGGAAGCTTCTATATAGGTATGAGACTGTTGCTAGGGTGGTTGCCAGGGGGGTAGAGTTGGAAGTGGTTGGAAGTCTCTTTTGAAATTCCTTTCCTGGCCTTTGTTCCTGCTGGGTCCAACCTTCTCTGGGTCTCTGTTGGCTCCAGGTCAAGGTCTTTTCAGACCTTAGTTCCTGTGTCTTAGGTGGGCTTTTTTGCAGCCCTATCCCATCTACCTGCTTACATCAAGGCCAGACCCTGTTGTGCTGGGAGGTACTTCTGGTTCTGTGCTCTGGGGACCATGTGGTACTATCTCTCTGATGTACCTCTAGAATGTAAAGCATTCGCTTCAGCCCTTTGAACTATTTCCTTGGCCCCAAGATACTTAACTTACAGTTAATACTCTCTCACAAAGATCTGTAGGCCAACCAAGTTAAGAAACAAATTTTTATTTATGTGTTTATTTTTATTTGCTTTTTGTTCCTCCTATTTGGATCCACTTCTAGCCAGTGCTCAGGGGCTCCTCCTGGTTCAGAGTTTGGGGATCAGTCCAAGTGGTGCTTGGGGTAGTGCTGGGGACTGAACCTGGGCTGGCCAAATGTAGGGCAAGGCCCTTACTACCTGTATGGCCTCTCTGGCTTCTCAGAGTAGGCTTTTAAAAAGGAAATTTACTGGGATCAGAGAGATAGTGGGTAGGGTGCTTGCATTGCATGCAGCCATCCTGGGTTCAATCCTTGGCATCCCATATGGTCCCCTGAGCACCTCCAGGAGCGATTCTTATGTACAGAGCCAGGAGTAACCCCTGAGCATTGATGAATATGGCCCTCACCCCCATCCCCCCCACATATTTGTTTATTAGGGCTCAGTGGCTTCTCTCTATATATATGCAAATAATTAACTCCCCACCTTCCTTAAACCCTTAATCATAAGGCAGTTATGTTACATTCTTGGCATCCTGAAACCGTTTGAAGTGGTAAGTGATAAGTATGAGCTCAAGTATTGCTCTTGGACTTTGGTCTCTTCTGGGTCTTTAATGTTAATTGCTTGTTCCAGGGTGGAAATTGAGACAGTTTGAATCTCTTGAGTGTCAGGAGGTAGCATTCTGCAGTAGCACCTTGAAACATGCCCCCCTGCATAGTGCTCATTCCTTCTCTTCAGCTCCCTCCTTCCCTTTCCTTTCTTGCTGTCATCGTTGTTGTGATTGCTGTTTTAGGGGTCTGTACACTTGTGCTTGCACCCTTGCTGGCTGGGTAGGGGCACACATTTAGTCGTGGCCCATGCATGTTTGGCTGTGGTGCTCACCGTGGGATGCTGTGGTGCTCATATGCATGCTTGCCAAGGTTCACACTCCTGGCCTCAGTGCTTAGCATTTTTAGTTCTGATAAACGTGCTTGACTGCGGTGGACCAGAGTTTCATTGCAGAGCTGGGGTGCTGGACAACAGACCCTCTGAAACTTTGTCTCTTGTGAGTGACACCAGGGTTTGAATGCATGGCCTCCCTCTTGCAAGACAAATGCTTTCAGCACTGCCCCTCCTTTAGTCTTTTATTTTCTTATTCCTCTTTGCAGGGGTATCTTCCTCACTTGTCATGGAGAACTTCTTCCCTGTTGACATCTTATCAATGAAATCATTTGTCATTTCATACTTTTCTGCTTATAATAAAGCATACACATATTTAACAATGTACAGACTTAGAAAAGTTAAGCATTGCTTTAGAAAGATTATTAAAATTATCTATCACTGAGGATAGCATACAGGTGGTGGTTGGTAAATGCCATCTGTGTATCTGGTTTGATTATTATCCTGTGCTTCACTGCTGTTGTTGTGTCCTTTTTTTGGGTGGTACTGATGGGGGGGGTCATACCTGGCAATGCTCAGGGGTTACTCCTGGCTGTACTCAGGAATTAGTCCTGGGGCAGTGCAGGGAGACCATGTGGGATGCCAAGGAAACTCAGGTTGATTGCATGCAAAGTAAATGCCCTCCCGCACTGTACTATTACTGTAGCCCCTGTATCTTTTTCTTATATCTGCAAATATAAATTTCCTTCTTCCCCTCCACCCCCTCCTGAACCCCTTGAAATATAGAAACATGGGGTCAGAGAGAGCTCAATAGGCTGAACACATGTTTAGCATGTAGGAAGCCTGGGTTTGATTCCTGGCCCCACATGGCCCCTCAGACACTGCCAGGAGCAATCCCCAAGCACAGGGTTTCCTGAGGACCTCTGAGTATAGTTGGGGAAAGGGGTGAGGAAATATAGAAATAGGTTTGCTGCAATATGGGTTCCAAGAAATCCATGTTGAGAAACATTCTCTAATTCTCTTAAGCCGTTGTACTTCTTTATAAACCACAGATGCTATTTTCAAGGTGCATCCTAAATATTAGATGAGCAAATAGCTTTTAAGATGATTTTTTTTACTTACGCCATCATGAGTTAAGGTACCTTCAAACATTATGGCTATGTTTTATTTGCATTAAGCTGTTTGTTCCAATAATAGATGATATTTAAATTTGAAGGTTGATGCATATGGTCATATTTGTCATTAGTTTTGTACACAAGTGGAAGGGAGGTGTTAATAATAAGCAGTGATTGGAGTATAACCACAGAGCAAGTCTAAAACCATTATCGAATGTTGATTGATGTAAAGCACATTGATAGATTAAAAGAAAAATGAATTTTTTTTCCTTTGTAGCATTTAAATCTAAAGATACCAAGAGGAAGACCAGAGTGATAGTACAGCATTTGGGTAGGGCATTTGCCTTGCATGTGGTTGACCTAGGTTTGATCTCATACACCCCAGATGGTTCCCCAAGCACTGCCAGTAGTGAATACAGAGTCAGGAGTAAGCTCTGAGCACAGTTGGACGTGTCTCCAAGACCAAGAAACAAGATACAAAAAAGGGTATTTCCTTTATTTTTCTTATCCTGTTAGAAATTCACTCATCAGAATCACAAAGTAATTATGAAGAATTAAGAGGACCATGAGTATTAAGTTAAAATCTAGGAAGTACACATACTGAAGCTATCAACAAATGAATTGGAAATTTTTAGAGAAATTTTTCTCAAAAAAGTGAAAAATATGAACTGGCTAAGATGTAGGTAGGTTAGCCTAAGGGAGGAATTAAGAACAAATAATAAACAAAGGGTCAGAAGGGTCAGGGAGATGACTTAGAACTGAGCCATTAATTTACCACCACCATTGATTAACTTCATAGCTCATTTAAAAATTAAACTTTAAACTTTAAATTAAATTTATGTGTAGAACAATTCTTTGTAAGTCCAGGCATTACTTAATGTTAGGGGAAATTAAAAAATCATAGCATATGAAAGCTATTAAATGTTATTAAAGCTTTGATGGTAATTGGAAAGGAAAAAAATGCAAACCATTCCCTGAGATAAGAGTGGCTGCCAGATGATACCTTGGAGTGCTGTGGCACACCACAATTAGTCCCTTAGTTACTCACCAGGCGCTCACCGGGCTTTCACCATATGAAGCTAACAAGTAATTTGTGAGGATTATCCCTGTGGAGTTTGTCTGCAAGCCTTATAAATAACTAGAAGAATGTGGTGGTATGAACAGTATGATGGCCAGAGAGAGAGTGGCCAGAGATACAGTGGGTTGGGTGCTGCTTGCCTTGCCTGCGGCTAAACTGAGTTCAATCCTCAGTACCCCCTCAGGGCCCCCTGCAGCTCAGGAGTGATCCCCAAGAACAGAGCCAAGGCTAAGCCGGGAGCATCACTGGGCGTTTCCCCAAATTTACCCCCTGAAAAGAACAGTAACAATAAGTTGTCCATAAACTGAAATAAAGGTGCAACAGGATTGGCAGCATAGGTTTTGCTTGAATTTGAGTTTATCCAATTTTTCCTTCATTTATCCTTTTTTTTTATTGGTACTTGACTATGGTTGTGGAGATTATAATGAAATAATGTATAAAGTGCTAAGTGCAGTAGCTGTAGCATAGCTTTTGCTTGAATTTTAGTTTTCTCCATTCATCCAATTTTTTACTGGTACTTAATGGTTGTGGAGAGTATGATGAAATAATGTGTGAAGTGCTAAGCTCAGTAGCTAGCTTTGATTAATGATTAATAACTTGATCAGTTTTTCAATATTTTATTTAGTACCAGCTATTTCAGAAGCTTATAAAATATATCAAAGATCTTAATAGATTGCATCCTTATTATGAGCTTTAAATGAAGTTAAAGTTAATATGGAAAGGCGCTCACATGGCGCTTACATGTAAAGCACTTGCCTTCCATGTGTGATGTGCTGTCAGTCCCTAGCAACACACACACACACACACACTCATATACACACACAGTAATTCTATTCTGAAATCTCCTGTGTCCCACCCTTTTTTCTTATTTTTCTGTCCTTTTTTTTGGTGTGTTTGTATGAGGGGGATGCTAATACACACAAGGCAAGTGCTCTGCTGCTGAGCATTTCATAGACTGTCAGTCCCTTTTTGGGAGGCGGGGGAGGCAGGATCTGGGGCCACACCCAGCAGTGCTCAGGTTTATTTCAGCTCTGTGCTTAGGGCTTGTTCCAGTTGTGTTCCCAGAATCACTCCTGGTGCGCTTGTTAGCTCCTGAACTTTATTATTATTTCTCCAGCCTTGTTTGTGTTTTTAGGCCATACCCTGTGCTCCTGGATTGTCTGCACCTGGCTATGCTCGGGGAAACATGTAGCGTTGGGAAGGGAGTCCAGGGCAAGCACTGGACTGTAACTGTCCATGTGCTGTAACCCTTGGAGGTGTCACCCCAAATTCCACTTCTTTTGTTTGTTTTGAGTTTACACCTGTTGGTGCCCAGAGTTTACTCCTGGATCTGTACTCAGGGACAACTCCTGGCAATGCTTGGGGTACTGTGATGCAGGGGATCCATCCTGATTCATTGGTCAGTTACTTACAAGGCAAGTAGGTAACCCTAACCTCTGTACTATCTCTCTGGTCCCCATTGCACTATTTAAAACACTAAATGTCTAATAATATATGATTATTATAATATCTAATAATATCACTATCACTATCACCCCGTTGTTCATCGATTCGCTCGAGTGGGCCCTGTCACGTGCTTGTGGAGCCTGATGACATATTGGGGGCTCCTTCTGGATCAGGGGAAAGAGGACCATTCATTGTTACTGTTTTTGACATATCAAGTACGCCACGGTTAGCTTGTCAGGCTCTGCCGTGTGGGCGGGATGCTCTCGGTAGCTTGCCGGACTCCCCGAGAGGGGTGAAAGCTTTTGGGCAGCCTCTAATCACCTTTACAGGTGTTCCTAGTCAGGCATATAGGCGAGTATGATACGCTCAGTAGCCTGAGAGTGAGAACTAAAGAATAAGAGGTCCTGGGAGCTTGGTTTTAGAGTCTCTGGATCCTGGCCATTGATGGGGTTACACAGCAGTTGGTGGGTGTAACTGTCTAACTACTGGAAGGTGGGGTAGCTGGGTGGAGGAGGCCCAGTCCTGAACCAAGCAGGCTTGGAGATCTCAGCCCCGGGTCCCGCACACCTGGGTTCCTCTGCCGGTTCATCATCCAAGTGTGTGGAGAGTGGTCTCAGTATGGCTTTGGCTGGGTCCCGTAGGTCTTCAGCTGTCGGGGCTCTGCTCAGGGTGGAGAGGGAAACTCAATCCGCCCTCCTCCGAGGGGCCCCGGTGAGGACAGCCAGGTGCAGGGGCAGGAGACAGTGCCTTGTTCTCTTCCGGGAGCTTGGTTTTAGAGTCTCTGGATCCTGGCCGTTGATGGGGTTACACAGCAGTTTAACCGCGTAATAATATATACATGTCAATGTGTTTTTGCTAGGTTTATAATATTAAAATGAATTTCTAGGAAAATAGGAAAATAAAGTTTTAATGTTTTCACAGGTGCTGGAGAAAATTTGGAGAACACAATGGCAGCCTTTAGGCAGTAAGTATATAAAAAGATATTCTTTCCTTCTACAGTTTATCTTTTAAGTGATGATTACAGTGGGCCTGGATGGGGGTGGGGGTTCCAGTGGTAGACCCCTTGCCTTGCCTGTGTGAGGCCCTGAGTTTGAATTCCGGCATCAGTCACACAGAAATATAAAAAAGTGATGATGACAAAGGGGATGCCAGTAACATTCATTTGTGATAGTTGTTTCTGTTTTACTAAAATCACTTTAAAAAGTTTAATGTAGTTTGACGTTTTCCAAAGAAATCAGTACTTAAAAAGTCCATGACCTTCCTATATATAAATAGTGAAAAAAAAAAGAAAAAGAGATATTAAAACAATCCTAATCGCAATTTGGTGCCTCAGAAAACCAAATACCTCAGAATCAGCTTAACTAAAGAGGTGAAGGACCTATACAAAGAAAACTACAAAACACTACTTCAAGAAGTAAAAGAGGACACCAGGAAATATAAACACATCCCCTGGTCATGGATCGGGAGGATTAACATTGTCAAAATGGCAATACTCCCCAAAGCATTATCAGATTCAGTGCAGTCTCTGTAAGGATATCCATGGCAGTTTTCAAAGAAAAAGATCAAACACTTCTAAAGATTTCCCAAGAAAATTTAGCTTCTCTATAACTGAAAATCCAGGTCAGTTTTTGTGTTTTGTTTTTTTGTTTTTGTTTTTGTTTTTGTTTTTGCTGTTTGGATCACACCAAGCGATGCACAGGGGTTACTCCTGGTTCATGCACTCAGGGATTATTCCTGGCGCCTGGCAGCACTCGGAGAACCACATGGGATGCTGGGAACCGAACCCGGGTTGGCCGTGGGCAAGGCAAATGCCCTACCTGCTGTGCTATTACTCCAGCCCCCCAGATCAGTTTTTGGAAATGGAAAGATACAAAGCTGAAGGAAGACTTTTGTAACAGGGAACATACAGTGTGTGATGCTAATTACTCAAGAGGAAGGGAAAATGGAAAGACTGTTCCACTGGCTGTTGTTCTGAATAGGTTTATGTGTCCACTCGGTCATTCTTGTCTGCACAGTTGTACATTAGCCTGTTATCTGGTCTTTTTTTTTAAAGCTTTATGAATGTTAATCTTAACTTTGTTTTTGGTTTTGTTATTGTTATTGTGGGCTGGAGCGATAGCACAGCGGGTAGGGCGTTCGCCTTACACGCGGCCAACATGGCCGACCCGAGTTCGATTCCTCCGCCCCTCTTGGAGAGCCCGGCAAGCTACCGAGAGTATTCGATATGCCAGACACAGTAACAACAAAGTCTCCAATGGAGACGTTACTGGGCCCGCTCGAGCAAATCGACGATCAACGGGAGGGCCTCTAACTTTACCTTTACCTTTACCTTTATTGTTATTGTGGTTGTTTTTTGTTTGTTTGTTTTGCTTTTTGGGTCATACCCAGCGTTGTATAGGGATTACTCCTGGCTCTGCACTCAAGAATTACTCCTGGCGGTGCTCAGGGGGCCATATGGGATGCTGGGAATTGAACCCAGGTTGGCTGCGTGCAAGGCAAACGCCCTACCTGCTATGCTCCAGCTCCTGTTGTTGTTTTTGTTGGATTTCTTTAGATCACACCCAGTGCTCAGGGCCCAGTACAGCAGCTCTGCGCTCAGAAGTCACTCCTAGCAGGAACCATATGCAGTAGGACAGAGCATGAAAACCCTTAATTCCTGGAGTATCTCCCTTGATCTTATTTGTTTTTTTATTTTGTTTGATTGGTTTGGGGTTCATACTTAATGATGCCTAAGGCTTACTCTTGGCTCTGTGCTGATCACTTCTGGTGGGTCTGGGGGACCATATGGGATGCTGGGGCTCAAACTGCTTCGGCCACATGCAAGGCAAGCACCCAACCCAGTGTACTATTTCTCCGGTCCCTTCAGCATTTTTTATATTGTTTTGTTTAAGCAGTAGCTATTGAAAAGTGCCGTAGCCTCTGATGATGTCATAGTTCTTTATAACTAGTTTTTTACAGAAGGAAGCAACTCTTCCATGTGTTTTTCGTGTTTGTTAGGTGTGCTAATTTGTGTATCAGGGAAATAGCTGAAAAGGCTGAATCAAATGTATGGTGTTTGGAGGCCCTGGGTTTGAGCCCCTACTCCACATAGACACCTCAGCACCATTTGGGGCCTCTGGTGGCCACTGAGCACTTTTTGGAGGTAAAAGAAAAATAAAAGAAAAAAGATTAACCAGGAATGATAAATGTACCAGGATCAGAAGAGCTATCTTTCTGTAGAGAGTAAGAAACTATTATTCATTTTTGTTTGGGACATCCAGTCCTTTGAACTCAGCTGCAATTATTTCTATTTTATAATGTAGCTAGAGAAGTAATTAGCACTGACAAAGAGATAATTATGTCTCACAGTGTGAAATTTTTTTTTGTGGACTTATTAAATGTTTTTATGAACACTGTATGTTATGAATATGGTTCTTTTGTGCTTCTTGGAAGCAAGAATATTTTTTTTTTATTTTAGGGGGCGGCACACCTGTCAGTGCTCAGGGGCTTACCCTGATGCAGTGCTTGGGGGTCAACTCTGGTGGTGCTTAGGCAACCATGCAGTGCCAAAGATTGAACCCAGGCCGTGTACAAGCAAAGCTGCATGAGCTTCAGCCCTTTCAACTATCTCCTCATCCCAAGAATCTTGTAGTTGATTTCCCATTCCCTGACTCCTTGCTCTAGTAGATGCCTGAATGAGATAATGTTATGGGGCATTGACAAGAACAAAGAAGAATATTAGTAGAAGACAGATGAAGGAAACAGAACCACACCCATAAAAGCATGGAACCAAGCACTTAGAGATTGTACCACACACACACACACACACACACACACACACACACACACACAGCCCCACTAAACCCTTGAGTATGTAAAACCTGGTTCTTAAGAGCTAATAGAACTAGGTTATTAAACCAGGCTGCCTTTGTAAACGCCCAAAGGACAATTTGATCCCTGTGGTATTAAGCATGAATGGTAAGAGAAGGAAGCAAATTGTATTAGCAATAGCAGGAAGTATTTTTGGCAGAGAGTCAAAGTAATTAATTGGTGACCTGGTTCTCATATTTTAGAATATCTAATTAATGGTGTTAATTATCTCATCTATGAAATGGGAATAATATAATTCTAATGATCTCATCCCTGTTTCATTACCCTCAATGTTGTGAATAAGTGAGAGTAACATAATTTTTGTTTTGTTTTGTTTCTGGATCAAGCTCAGGGTATTGCTCCTGACTTAATGCTCAGGGGACCATGTGGTGGTGGAATCAGTTCCCAGCCTCCAGCACGCAAGGCATGCCTGCCCGCCTATATTGAGCTTTCTCTCTACCACTGCATTTTTTTTTAAAAAATTAAAGTATCATGAATTACTATATTTTCATTTTATTTCATTTTGTTTTTTGTTTGGGGGCCATACGTAGCAGCTCCCAGCCAAGGCTTACTCATGACTCTGAACACAGGGATCATGCCTGACCAGACTCTTATATGGGGCTGGAGATCAAACCTAATTAGTTATGTGCAAGACAAGCCCCTTACCATGTATTACTGCTCTGGATCCTTAATATTTTGTTTGTTTTTTTGTTTGGGGACCACAATTGGTCATGCTCAGTGCTTACTCCTAGCTCTGTAATCAGGAATCACCCTGGTGATGCTCAGGAAACCATGTAGGGTGCCAGGATGAAACTTCAGTTGGCCAAATGCAAGGCAGACACCTTAACTACTGTACTATCTCTCTGGCCCATGGCCCCTTAACATTTATGTTTTAAGCATACAGTGTTACTACCACACCCATAACCACAGTACCAGTAAGTAAGTAAGTAAGTAAAGGCCCTCCCGTTGATCGTCGATTTGCTCGAGCGGGCCCAGTAACGTCTCCATTGGAGACTTTGTTGTTACTGTGTCTGGCATATCGAATACGTCACGGGGAGCTTGCCAGGCTCTGCCGTGCGGGCGAGATACTCTCGGTAGCTTGCCGGGCTCTCCGAGAGGGGCGGAGGAATCGAACTCGGGTTGGCCATGTTGGCCGCGTGTAAGGCGAACGCCGCCCTACCCGCTGTGCTATCGCTCCGGCCTCCCTCTCAAATGTCCTAGTCTCTTCTCATTTGCCCTCCCTTCTCTCTCAGACCCTTGTCGCTAATACCCCACCCCCTGCCACTGCCCCTTCACCAACTCAGTTCTGTTGGCAGAATATCTGGATTTGTTTTCAGTAGCCATTGTCTATTTCCTTGCTTTGTTTCTTTGTACTCCACGTGTGCATGAGATCACCCGATATTTGTGCTTCTCCTTCTATACACTTTCCTTGACATGCCTGACATGAAACCCTCTTGTTCCATCCAAGTTTTTGTTGTTGTTTTTAATGGTGTATGTGGGGGAAAGGTCGTGGTCACACCCAGTGAGGCTCAGGGGTTGCTCCTGGATCTGCATTCAGGAATTTTTCCTGGCAGTGCTCAGGGGACCATATGTAATACCTGGGATTGAACCTGGATCAACTGTGTATAGGATAAGTGCTCTCCCCACTGTACTTATCGCTTTGGCCCCTTTCCATCCAAGTTGTAATGAAATTCAGGATTTCATCTTTTCTTACAGAGGAGTAAAGTTCCACTGTCCCTATATATATATATCACTATTTTTATTCTTTACACCACCACATTTTTCCATTTTGGAGGTCCATTTTGGATCTCTTAAGCAATGCTCAGAGGACCTGGAAGCCACTCCCCTTGATACTGGGCTGATGGTTCAAAATTTAGACCTGGCAATTTCATGCTGTGTGGATCCCAGCAATACTAGGTAGGGGTCACCAGGGCCACACCAGTTGGGGGGTGGGATGTGAGGAGACAGTGACCACAGGATCCCTGATGGAGGCTGGGGTAGGCATGCTATGCTGGGTTTCCAACCTGGGGCCTTGAGCATCAAGGCCTGATTCCTGTGTTTTGCAGTGTCTTCTGTTCCCTGCACTCCAACAGTTTCTTTTTAAAAATAGGGGCTGGAGCAATAGTACAGTGGGTAGGGTGATTGCCTTGTCTGTGGCCAACCCAGGTTCGATCCTTGGCACTCCATATGGTCCCCCAAGCCTCCAGGAGTGGTTTCTGAGCAAGGAATAAGCCATGAAAACTACCCCCCCCCAAAAAAAAGGGTGGGGCCTCTCAAGCTGTGCTCAGGAATTCAGAGGCCCCACTAATGATTCTCAGCCAACCAGGCTATCAGTTCAGTGCAAGGGCCTAATAATGCAGAGTTGCTCTGCCCTTGGATGCTGGGGATACTCTGATCACCCTGGTAGTGCAGGAGGGTCCCCAGAGCTGCACCTGGTGATTCTTAGGGAACCAAGTGGTGCTGTTAGAGGGGAAACTATTTGGGTCACATCTAGGAGTGCTCAGGGGTCACTCCTGGTGGTGCTGGGGAACCAGAGCAGCACTGGGGATTGAACTGGGGTTGGTTATGTGCAAATGCTTTATCCCCTCTAGTACCTCTCCAGTCTTCCCCTTTAATTTTTAAAAAATTTATAATTAGCATACATATTATGAAACTCCAGGGTTAATTTTAAAAGAAAGGTTTGGACTTGAGACATGGCTTATTCTTTGGGGGGTGGGGGAGGGTGTCTGCGTGATGCCAGGGATCCTCAGAATCACATCCTCGCTCATCTCAGACTTACAACTTTACCATCTAGATTTTTCACATCAGTAAGTCATAGTAGATAAGAGTGATGAGAAGAAATGCAATTATTATGGGACTTTTTAGTGGTTCATTTTGTAACTGTAAATTTTTACAGCGGATACATGTGGCTTAAGCATTCTCATGTCTCAGAATGTTTTCTGTGTTTTTCTTCAGTGCAGTCACACTTGGAACCGACATGCTGGAATTGGATTGCCATATCACAAAAGATGAACAAGTTGTTGTGTCACATGATGAGAATCTAAAGAGATCAACTGGGGTCAATGTGAATATCTCTGATCTCAAGTACTGTGTAAGTACAATGCATGAAAAATACTTAATACTAAGTAGCCTCTAAGGTTTTTTGGGGGAGGTGCGGGCGGGATGGGTGACCGTTGGATGGGTGACTATTGACCTAGCAATTCTCAGGGGTTATCCTGGTTCTCCACTCAAGGTTACTCCTGTCAGTACTACCAAGTCTCCTTCATGGAAAGCACACATACTAACCCATTGAGGTACCTCTTTGGTTCCTCTAAAGTTTTGTAAAAATAGTGTCCAGAGAGATAGTTCACTGGGCAGGGCACTCGATTTGCTTGCAGCCAACTTGGGTTTGATCCCTGGTTCCCTGAGCTTTGCTCAGAGTGATCCCTGAGCACAGAGCCAGGAAAAAGCCCTGAGCACAGCCGGGTGTGGCCCCAAAAGAAAAAGAGAAAGAGAATACATGAGGAAACACATGTGTTGCCATAATGTTAAAATGTTCAAAATATCTTATGCATAAAGATATCACAGTTCTCTGTGTAAAAAATATCCTATGCATAAAGATATCACAGTTGTCTGTGTAAAAAAAACATGGAGCATAAACGATATACCCTGGGACTTATTTTTGTTTTTTTGTGTGTTTTGAGCCACACTTGGTTGTACTTAGGAGTTATTCCTAGCTCTGTACTTGAGGATCACTCCTGGCAACCTCAGGTGACCATTAGCAGGTGTTGGGGATCGAACCTGGGTCTGCCGCATGCAGAGCAAAAGCCCTTCCCACTGTGCTGTCACTCTGGACCCTAAACAGTATATGCTATTAACTTTAAACATTTTAAGGTGAAAATAACACCTAGTGTTGCATGAAGTGATCGATCAGTTGGTTGGAGACACGGAGATAAAACACACGAGAGGAATGTAAAGAGCACAGAGGGCCAAGGCTCATCTGGCTTGAGGCAAAGAGCGACTGCCAGAGGCCTCCTTTTATTCTATTTTTTATCAGTTACATCCTAATGACTTAATCACTGAGAAAGACTCAAACGACTCAAAAGACAAATCACAGAGACAGACTATAACAAGAGTACAAACAATTATAGGATGCGCATTCGTCAGAGGAACATCAAGGAATACTTTGCCTTGTCAGAGCTATGTTGTCAAAGCTATGTTCCAATGATTTACAATGTCAGGGGAAGATATGAAGCTGGACATGTAGGCTCTACAGATTTTTTCCCCTACATTCTTGTGGTTGGTTGCACATAGGGCAAAGAGAAGGCTTATACTGATACTTAAAGGTCAATCCAGATTAAGGATGTGTAAGAGAGGGGGAAACTGCTGCCTTGTACTGCCAAGATAATGTATGACTAGGAGGGTGTATGAGAGCATGCTGTACTTCTCTAGATCATCGGACTCACACATTTTTATCTTGCCCATTTAATGTGAAAGTGGCGTCTCGGTTCTGCTTCCTGCTTGCAGGGCAGTGTCCAGAGGCTTGTCCTAATGTCTTGGCTTAGCACCAACACCTAGGCATGTGAATTATTATTTTTTTCCCTCCATCATTAGTATTTACTACAATGAGCATGTAAAACTACTAAAACGTTTGTTTTGGGGATACATCAGGCAGTTACTCCCATCCAAGGCCTCACACATGCAAGATAAGTGCAAACTGTTGGAACTATATTCCCATCCAAGATTAAGTGTTGATTATCATTTATTTGATGTTCAATATAAATATTAATGTACATAATCATTAGTGAGTTTAAGGATTTTCCTATATGATTATTACTCAGTTTTTTCTTTAAATTTTCTTTTCTTTTTGTGTGGGATGGGCAAATCTCCCCTGTGGTGTTCAGAGGGTCCCTCAGGTGACTCCCTTCCTCTCTCCTGCCTCACTTTCTTCTCTCTTCCCCTCCTCTTCCCTCCGAATCCATTTTTTTCTGGGGGGGGTCACACCCGACGATGCACAGTGTTACTCCAGGCTTATGCACTCAGGAATTACTCCTGGTGGTGCTCGGGGGACCATATGGGATGCTGGGGATCTAACCTGGGTTGACCACATGCAAGGCAAACTCCCTACCCGCTGTGCTTTCACCCCAGCCCCCTCTTTTTGTTTTTCTTTTGTGGTTCTGGGGATCAAACCCAGTAATACACATAAGCCACCCAAGTGTCTTCACTGCCAAGCTACATCTCAGGTCTAAAATCTTTCTTGTGAAAGTTAGTAATTGTGTAGTTAGTTTGCTGTTGGAGATATTCTGCTAAAGGGGTCCTATGTAAACATATATAGTATTCTCTTACTTTTGAAGAAGCAAATACTATTTGTTAACACACTGAATATATAAGACACTGAAAACGGGGGCCAGAGAGATAGTACAGCAGGTAGGATACTTGCCTTGCACACAGTAAACCCAACTGAAGAGCCAGGAGTAAGCCCTGAGCACAGCTGGGTATGGCCCCCGAGGCAAAGACAGACAATAAAAACAAAAGGGTAGTAAATCTGGCACTGGAGCAGTAGTACAGCAGGCAGGGAGCTTGCCTTGCATGCAACTCACCCAGTTTCAGTCCCCTGCACCCCATATAGTCCCCCAAGCACCACCAGGAGTGATCCCCGAGCACAGAGCCAGGAGTAAGCCCTGGGTGTGTCTCCCCTCCACATTCCTCCAGGAAGAATAGACACTGAACATGTTTTAGATTCTGTGATTTGATTTATTTTTAATTCTATCTTTTAAAGGAACTTCCGTCTTACCTTGGAAAACTGGATGTCACATTTCAAAGAGGTAATATTTCCGGGAGCTTGATTTTATAGTCTCTGGGTCTTGCCCATTGATGGGATTACACAGCGCCAGCAGGGCAGTTGGTGGGTATAACGCCTAGCTACTGGAAGATGGGGGAGCTGGGTGGAGAAGGTGCAGTCTGATTTGAGCAGGCTTGGCGATCTCAGCCCCGGTTCCCGCATACCTGGATTCCTCTCCCGGTTCCTTCATGCATGAGGCTCATCTGAGAATGTGGAGAGTGGTCTTAAGCATGGCTATGGCTGGGATCCCGGAGATCTTCCGCTGCTGGGGCTCTGCTCGGGGCGGGGAAGGAAACTCAACCCACCCCCCTCCAAGGGCAAGGGGCCCTGGTGAGGACAGCCAGGCGCGTAAAATTTTAAACTTGATACAAATCATAAAACTCAGATATTATTGGGGATACTTTGCACTTCTAAAGCATAGTAAAGCTTCATAGTCTAAAATATTACAATATTTAGAGTAACCATCTATTCAAATAAAAAGAATAAATGAAAAATTGAAAGTATTCCTTTCAGATCCTTACTAATTCTATATTTTTATATCATCTCACTGTTCCACATTTTGAATTATTAAAGAGAATAATATTAAAGTCATTTTACTTAGGGGAAAAAAGTTTTCATTTTCTGTTTTATATTACCTTGGTAAGTTCATAGAAATTTTTTTTTCTTTTTGGGTCACACGTGGTGATGCTCAGGGGTTACTTCTGGCTTTGTACTCAGGAATCACTCCTGGCAGTACTCAGGGGACCATATGGGATGCTGGGAATCAAACCTGGGTCGGCCACGTGTGAGGCAAATGCCCTACCCACTGTGCTATCACTCCAGCCCCCAACTTCATCGAATTTTTAAGGTGAAGAGAACTTTGAGGCCATTAAGGCTATCGTACCATCTTGTTACTGATAAGGAAACTGAAGACTAACCATGTAAATAAGTTTGATCAAGGTCATATAACAAATCAGTGGGAGAGCCAGGACTTGAAACTGTGTGTCCTTCCCAGGCCAGTGGTCAGCTGCTCTACACGGCCTCTTCATCTGAGGAATCTCCTCAACTGTCCTACTGATAGCAGTGCTTTATGTTCTCAAGTTTTGTACAGTTATAAAGAATAATTAACCTTTGGGGCTGGAGAGAGTACAGTGGGCAGGGCACTTGCCTTGCATGTTGTTGACCCAGTGTTCATCCCCAACACCGTAAATGATCCATTGAGCCCCGCCAGGAGTGATCCATGAGCCTCACTAGGAGAAAATTTGAGCACCACTGGGTGTTGCCCAAATACCAAAACAAAAAGAAGAAGAACGTCACACAATTCAACTCATTCTATAGATAACTTGACGCTATCCCTCAGATGTGAAGTTTATTGCATTTGAAACAGACATAGTGCTGTAAAAACTGACTGGGGGGCTGGAGAGACAGCACAGCGGGTAGGGCATTTGCCTTGCACTTGGCCGACCCAGGTTCGATTCCCAGCATCCCATATGGTCCACTGAGCACCTCCAGGAGTAACTCCTGAGTGCAGAGCCAGGAGCCAGGAGTAACCCCTGTGCATTGCCAGGTGTGACCCAAAAAGAAAAAAAAAAACTGACTGAGGGCAGAGCAATAGAGCAGTGGGAAAGGCTTTTGCCTTGCACACAACTGACCAGAGTTCGATCCCTGGCACAACGTCTGGTTCCTCCAAGTACTGCCAGGAGTAATCCCTGAGTGCAGAGCCAGGAGTAAGCCCTGAACACCACAGGCTGTAGCCTGAAAATCAAAACAAAATCAAAAAAGAAAAACTTGACTCATTGAGTTGTTTGTTTAGTTTTGTTCTTAATCCTTTGCTCAGAACCCTTTGTTATTTTAAATACTGGAGAGATTCTCAGCTCTCAGAGGAATACAGACTTAGGGTCTCTTGCTTCCTTTGTGGTACTGACCAGGGGAAGTTATTATTTTCTTTGTTTATTTTGGGGCCTCTCAGGTGGAACTCAGTGTCTCAGGCCACTCCCAGCGGTTGCCCAGCCAAGCCTTGGTTCAGTGGTTCAGTTCTCAGGCCCCGTGGTGCTGGGAGCACCAGGACTATGTCAGTGGTGCTCAGGGACCCCGAGAGCCACCCCCAGGGATGCTTGCGGGGAGGCTTTGTGGTAGTGCAGATTGAATTATATGACTGGCATATGCCCAAACCCCTGTATTAATTCCCAGGCCAGTAATTGTTTCCTTTTATCTATATATCCAGGAAGAGTGGGTAGGGCCGTTTCTGGTGGTGCTCAGAGCTTACAGCCTGGCTCTTTGCTCAGGAGTCACTCCTGACAGTGCTTATGTGGGGTTCGCTGCATGCAGGGCAAGCACCTTTACCCCTTTACTATCTCTCCAACCCCAGTAATTATTTTTAATTTTATTATTGTTATAATTTTTTTTTGGTGTTCTGGGCCACGCCTGGATGTACTCAGGGGTTACTCCTGGCTCTGTGCTCAGGAATCATGCCTGACAGTGCTCAGGGGACCGTATGTGGTGCTGGGGTAGCAAGGCAAACATCCTGGGTAGCAAGGCAAACATCCTGCCTGCTGAACTCTTGTTATCCCCCTAATTATTTTCTTTCAAAAGATGCTTTGAGGGGCCTGAGTGATAGTACAGTGGATAGGGCGTCTGCCTTGTATTATCACTCAGACCCTCAGAAAATATATTTTTCCTCTGCCCTCCTAGGGAATTCCCAGCTGGGGCTATGTAGACAAAAAGAAAAGTATAGCATTTTATTAGTTTTTGTTTTGTTTTGGTTTTGGGTTTTTTTTGCTTTTTTTTTTTGGGTCACACCTGGCGATGCACAGGGGTTACTCCTGGCTCTGCACTCAGGAGTTACTCCTGGCGGTGCTCAGGGGACCATATGGGATGCTGGGAATCAAACCCGGGTCGGCCGCGTGCAAGGCAAACACCCTGCCCGCTGTGCTGTCTCTCCAGCCCCCATTTTATTAGTTTTTATATGTTTGTATTTACAGTTTTGGGGCAACATCTGGTGATACTCAGAGCATACTGTTAGTCGGGCTCAGGGAACCATATATGGTGCTGGGGATCAAATCTGGCTAGATCAGCTAGCTGCGTGCAAGGCAGGCACCTGACATGCTATGCTATCTCTCTGGCCCCTACCGTGTTTATCTAATGTGAGAAACTGAGGAACGAGTATCCCAAAGGGGTGATTAGAACTTGGCTTACCTAGTCACAATCACAAATCACAAATCATCCTGTTATTCGTCGATTGCCTCGAGCAGGCCCCAGTAACGTCTCCTTCATCCTAGCCCTGAGATTATATTCAAGGCTCTTTAGGAGAATGAGACCCATCATTGTTACTGGTATTTGGCATATTGGGTACGCCAGGGGGAGTTTGCCAGACTCTGCCCTGTGGGCAGGCTACATTCGGTAACCTGCCAGTTTGTCCAAAGTAGGAATGAGATAATAAGATGTTACCTAGTAACAATGAAAAAAAAATTTTTCCGAAGTGACAAGCAAAAGAAAAGGATTTTGTTTCTAGGGTGGCAAATAAGGCAAATAATGCATGAAAATTAGTAGTTTGTTGTCTAGAGTACTCTGGTGCTGGCTTGGAGCTAAGGGTGTGCAGTTGTTGAGAATCAGTTTCTGTACAAACATCAGTCTTGTTTTCAGTCACATGGGAGGACAGAGAGCTTTTGTTATAATGCCTCTTCTCTGTTGCTTTCAGTTAAAATAATCCTTATGCCAAAATGTCATCTTAGGATAGCAAACTCTGTCAACTTTGAAGGAGTTGATTTGATTAAATTAAAATGTTATAGGGCTTTTCAATAGAGTATTATATATATTTGGGATATATAATAAAAATAATATATATAATAAAATATATATAATATATATAATTATATATATTATATATATAATAAAAATTGTTGGGCTACACGTGGTGGTTTTCAGGGACGACTCCTAGCTTTGTGCTTGTGGGGGACCGTATGTGGTGCTGGTGATCATTTTGGATGCAAGCACCTTCACCATATATCTCTCCAACCCAATGGAATATTTAAAAAATATATTCAAATGATAATTATGATTCTTGGGGGGCTTTTTTTATGCTCTAATTTTTGGTATAGCAGGTAGGGCGCTTACCTTCAAAGTGGCAGCCCCAGGTTTTTTTGTTTTGTTTTTTGCTTTTTGGGGTTGCACTCAGTGATGCTTAGGGATTACTCCTGGCTCTACATTCAGAAATTACTCCTGGTGGTGCTTGGGATGCCAGGGATAAAATCCAGGTCGGCTATGAGCAAGGCAAACTCCCCACCCACTGTACTATTGCTCCAGCCCCTGTTCTATTTTTTGGTAATTCCATTTTCCCTTTTGTTATAACAAGTAATATGGAGTAAATTTGTATGTGGCGATCAAGGAGGCAGGCTTGGGGGGGTTGTAAGAGGGAGTGGTTGGAGACTACTGGGAACATTGATAGAGGGAAGGTCACATAAGTGGTGCCATTGGTGTTGAAACTTTGAATCCTTGAATGCCTGAAATAAATGTTATGAACAACTCTGTAAATCAGTGTTATAATAAAAAATAATTATGGGATTAGACCAGTGGCTTATGTCAGTGTCACTGTGGTCATGATGTCACACTAGTTTTTTGATATATTACTCTTGGAGAATCTGAGTAAAGAGTGCACTCCATTATTTCCAACAACTACATGTGAATTAAGACCTGCCTAAAAATAAGCAGCTTAATGAAAATGATTCAAATCATAGTTATAAGTACAGTTAACTTGAAATTTGATTTTGTTCAGTTAAGACAATTAGGGCTGGAGAGGTAGTACAGCCAGTAGGCAGGGCATTTGCCTCACATCTGGTTTGGAGGCCAACCCATATTTGATCTCCAGCACCCCATCTTCCTCCTGGCCCCCACCCCGCCCCAACCCAGCCAGGAGTGATCCCTGAGCACTTTTGGGGAGGACCGAAAACCAAAACCAAGAGAAACAACGCCAAATCAAAAACAATAAGGGTAAGGATCCAGAGAACTGCCCCAATAGACTGGAGTACATGCTTCGCATATAGAGGTTCAGGGCTGATCCCTAGTTCCCTAGGGTTCCCTGAAGCACCATCAGGAGCAACATGAGAGCACTGAGCTGGGAATAGTTCCTGAGCACTGCAGGGTGTGCGCTACAAAGATCAGGTTAAAATCTTTAGTGAGTGAGGAATATAGCTCAGTGGTAGAGTGCTTGCCTTACATGTATGGCTCTGGATTCATTATCTGATATTGTACATGCACAAAAAGCTAAAATTTTTTGTTCTACTCAAATTTATGCTTAGGGAAAAAATAGTAGAGAACATGCTTACAGGTTATATGTAAGTTGTTGGGTTTTCTATCATTTTTCTCTATACTTTTAATTTCTTTGTAAATATCCTATTATGAATATATGTATATATTATAGACATTTAAAGTTTTTAACCTCCTAAATATACACTGAAAAATTTTGCTTTCTCAGAGTGCCAATGTGAAGGAAAAGATAACCGAATTCCCTTACTGAAGGATGTTTTTGAGGCCTTTCCGACCACTCCTATTAACATCGATATCAAAGTCAACAACCGAATGCTGATCAAGAAGGTACGTAGGGCATTGCCTCCTGAGCTGCATCCCATTTCAAAGACTAAGATTAATAACGTCCTCAAAAATGTGATACTCTAGGGGTCAATGTTTTTTAATTGTGTACCATGGGAACATGATCGCTTTAGGTAGGAAAGGCTATTCTCAGAGTAAGTTGTGTCTCTCTCATAGATATAAATGAGCATACACAAGCCTGTTGTTTCAGCATTTACCTAAGTTCTAGCTTAGCTTCCTTCTTCCCCTTGTAGCTAGTTTATGTCAAATTAATCAATTTTATCCTCAGATAAATCATATGTTAAATTAGAAATTGTGTCATTTTTGTACACGTGGCTGAATTTCTATGTCCTGCTCTTTCTGCAAGTACTGTTCAAGCAGTGTTTACTAAGTGGATTTACAAAAGACAGAAGCATACAGTTTTCAATTTTCACATGTAGGTCTCAGAATTGGTGAAGCAGTACAAAAGAGAACACATAACAGTGTGGGGTAATGCCAGTTATAAAATTGTAGAAAAGTGCTACAAGGAGGTAAGTGTCAAAAATGGTATAGTATGATTTACGTGTATTTTTGTTTTTCTGTAAAATATGTTATCATGGTAATAATCTTATAATTTGGGGGACACATCCAGTAGTGTGCTATAGCCCTTGCATACTAGGCATCAAACTGAGACCAGATCTTGCGTGCGAAGCATATGCTCCAGCCCTTTGAGCTACGGTAATTATTTTATTCTATTTAATACATTTTTGTTTTAATTTGGGACCATATCTGGCAATTCTTAGGGGCTGCTTCTGCCTCTGTGCTGGGTTTGCTCCTGGTGATATATGGGCCTCCTGCATGCAAACTATTTGCTCATCCTCTTCAGTCACCTCTCCATCCCTACTAATTCAGGGATTGGATTATATCTGGTGGTGCTTAGGGGTTACTTTTCGCTCTGTGCTCAGGGGTGACTCCTCACATTGCTGGGAATCAAACCAGATTGTCCATATGCAAGGCAAGTGCCTTAATAACCCATGCACTATCTCTCTGATCCCTAAATAGTTTTGTGTTTTATGGGGGGTTTTGTTGTTGTTTTTTTAAGGACCTGGCAGGTGGACCCCAACAAACAAAAAGAATTTGGGATGTGCTCAGCAGTTGAGCACTACTTTGTGTGTCTGAGGCTCTAGGTTCAATCCTGACAGTGGGAAAAAAAAGAAAGAGAAAGCAGGAGTGCGGGGTGGGGGTGTTTGGGGGGAGTTGTAAAGGAGCTGGAGCGATAGTACTGCTGGTAGGGTATTTGCCTTGCACGTGGCCGACCTGGGTTTGATTCCCAGCATCCCATATGGCCCCCCAAGCACTGCCAGGAGTAATTCCTGAGTGCAGAGCCAGGAGTAACCCCTGTGCATCTCTAGGTATGACCCCAAAAAGCAAATAACTAAAAACTCTTTAACTCCCAGGGAATAGAAACTTTGGGAAATGGGAGGATGGAATGTCAGGCTACAGCCATTAGTGCTCAGAGCACCTTCTGACAGTGCTCTGAGACCACTTGGTGCTGAGGACTACATCTGGGCCACTGGTATGCAAAGTGTGTACTCAACCCTTTGAGCTTTCTCCCTTGCCTTAGAAGCTAAAAATTAAATAGAATACACAGTGGTGATGGGAAAACTTGTGGTAATAATTTTTTACTCATTCATACTTCATAAACAAGTGCTTCTTAAACTTAGTTTAGCTCTTAATAATGTTAAAAGTCACCTGAGGGGCTGGAGCGATAGCACAGCGGGTAGGGCATTTGCCTTGCATGCGGCCGACCTGGGTTCGATCCCCGGCATCCCATATGGTCCCCCAAGCACCGCCAGGAGTAATTCTTGAGTGCAGAGCCAGGAATAACCCCTGAGCATCGCTGGATGTGACCCAAAAAGCAAAAAAATAAATAAATAAAAGTCACCTGAGGGGCTAGAGAGATAGTACAGCAGGTAAGGCACTTGCCTTGCATACAGCTACCCTGGCTTCAATCCCCGGCATCACATATGATTCTCAGAGCCAGTTAGGAGTGATCACTGAGCACTACTCTGTGTGGCCCAAAAACCAAAAACAACCTCCAAAAACATTGCCTAAGTGCCCTGCCTCCTGTCAGCATCCTAGCTTCATTCTCCAAAGGTACCAATTAGGAAGTGGACACTGGTAAAGCATGCAGTGTTCAAACATTGTATATCTAAAACCCTGTCATGACTAACTTTGTACTTTCAAGATGACTAAATTAAAAATAAAGTACCAATTATTGTTTTTTATTCTTTGGTTCCAAAGGTTGATGACCAGCTGCTGTCCCCATTTTCTTCCTTAATTCTGTTTGTCTTAGCATGAATTTGCAGTAATCAATGTTTTTCATGAACATACAGTGCTGCAGTTGAAACACGAACATTTAAATAGGCCAAAAATGACAAAGCAGCCTGTGAATTCAAAGCAAAAGAAATCCTCAAACTTTTTTCAAAGTCAACAAGTTCAGAGCTGAGTACTTTAGAGCTATCATTTAAAATAAATTGCTGTTTTGAAAAAGCATTATTTTTGGCTCACTCTTCAAGCTGCATTCTCCCTTGATCACGTATCTTGCTGGCTTGTCTTTGTTTCTTTGCTGCCTGTGTTCTCTTTTGAACACATTTCCCCCTTCTCTCTCCTCTCACATCCTTCTGTTTCAGTGTAAAATACTACCTGCTTCACTGAAAGGAAAAAAAAAACTAAAAAAACTAAACTATATGTTACTTTGGTATAGAAAACTTCATTTTCGCCGCACTTTTTTTTTTCTTTTTGGGTCACACCTGGTGATGCATAGGGCTTACTCCTGGCTCATGCACTCAGAAATTACTCCTGGCGGTGCTCGGAGGACCATATAGGTTGCTGGAAATCGAACCCAGGTCGGCTGCGTGCAAGGCAAACGCCCTACCCACTGTGCTACATTCCAGCCCCTTCGCCACACTTTTTAAGACAAATATAGGAAGGCAAGTGTACCCATTTTGCGTGCATGCAAGACCCACTGTACTATCTCTCCCTCTCATCTATATTTTTAATAACATTTGTTTGTTTGGAGGGCACACTCAGGTGCTTAATGATTATGCTGGGATAATATACTTAGGGATCACTCCCAATAGTATTCACGGTTCAGTGTGGTGCTGAAGCTCAAACAAGGTGTTTGGTGTGTAAAGCTTGTGCACTGGCTCTTTGAGCTGTCTCTGCTGAGATATATGTCATTTATACATATATGACTTTTTTTTTTAACTGTAAGTAGGGGCCCAGAGAGATAGTGCACCGGATAAGGCACTTGCCTTGCATACAGCCAACCTGGATTCAATCCCTACCATCCTCTATGGTCCCCCCCCAAGCCTACCAGAACCAGGAGTTACCCTTAAGTACTAACGGGTGTGACCTAAAAAGCAAAAACAAAAATAAAAAACTGGGAGTAAGGTCTGAATATTTCACATTTTCTTCTATTTTTTTTATCAGTTTTTTTTTAATTTGGTATTCCCAGTGATAAGCACTATCTAGTTCTTAGATTAGTATAAAATTGAAGTAGTGTTGTAAAGACAGAGTATGGTGGAAACTTTAGTATCACCAGGTAATACCTAGCTCCAAGATAAATCCTGACCCATTGTCCATAACTAGCACTCTCCTCTCCTCTCCTCTCCTCCCTTCTCCTCTCCTCCCCTCCTCGCGCCTCTTCTCCCCTCTACTCTCCTCTCCCTCCCTCACTCTTCCTTCCCTCTCCTTCCTTGTCTCTCTTCACTCTTTGCTTCTTCTAAGCTTGGTGGGCTTGGTACTTGGGGTCATTCCAGGTGTTGCTCAAGGGACCACGTTCATTGCTGGGCCTCCTGCATATAAATTTTGAACTAAGGACTATCATCTCTAAGAGTGGAAATGAACAATGATGATTCAGAGAGTAGTACTTCAGTACTGTCAATGGGATTGTGAAATGACCTTTATTTCTCTGTGTCCTTTAGAATTCAGATATTCCTATACTCTTCAGCCTGCAGCGTGTTCTGCTTATTCTTGGTCTGTTCTTCACTGGCCTGTTGCCATTTGTGCCCATTCGAGAACAGTTTTTTGAAATCCCAATGCCTTCTATCATGTTGAAGTAAGTGGTGACCTTGTTTTCATCAGTTCTCAAATATAGGGGGATTAAATAAAGGCTCATTAATCTCCGTATGTGTGGTATAGATTGCTGTAGTAATCTCCATGTTCAGTTAACTGGTCTGTAGAATAAAGCATGCACTTAACTTTTATTTGTTCTTTTTTGGGAGATGGGAGGATCACCTGATTGTGCTTAGGGGCTACTCTCATACATTGCTTGGAGGTTGCTACTACAGCTGCCTAAGGGACTATGAGGTGGGTGATCAAACCTGGGTGATCAAACAAATTGATCAAATGCAAGCTTGAGTTCTAGCTGTGGAGAGCTCTCTCTAGCTTCCATAAGTGCTCCAGGTACCTGAGTACCCACAAGACAGGTAAAAAGGATGGGCTTCATTGTTGAAGCTTAGTGATTATTTTATTCCAATACCAAGTATTGGAATGCTTGGTATTGGAATAAAATACTCCACCTTCCATATGTTTTTTTCTATTTCATTCAGAGCTATACTTAGCTGAAATTCCATTAAACTCCAAATTTACCTCTACTATAATCACTGTCGCTGTCCTCTGGTTGTTCATCGATTTGCTTGAGCGGGCCCAGTAACGTCTCCATTGTAGACTTTGTTGTTACTGTGTTTGGCATATCGAATACATCACAGGTAGCTTGCCAGGCTCTGCCGTGCAGGCGAGATACTCTCGGTAGCTTGCCCGGCTCTCAGAGAGGGGCAGAGGAATCGAGCTCGGATCAAGCCATGTTGGCTGCGTGCAAGGCAAACGCCCTACCGCTGTGCTATCGCTCCAGCCCATATACTATAATATTTAGGGAAAAAAATCACAACCACTACCCCAGTTTACCCCCCCTCCCCACCAAAAAAGTCTCTATTGGTATGACCCAAAAACCAAAACAAAGCAAAACAAAAAACCTTTGGAGATCAAAGAAAAGGGGGATAGTGCTGGTTTATATATCTCTTTACAAAATTTCTCTAGATCAAGAACCTTGTACAAGGCCTTGCTTTTCCCACACTAAGTTACTATAGCACTGTAGCACTATCCTCCCATTGTTCATTGATTTGCTCGAGTGGGCCCGGTAACGTCTCCACCATGAGACTTGTTGTTACTGTGTTTGGCATATTGAATACATCATGGGTAGCTTGCCAGACTTGCCGTGCAGGCGAGATACTCTTGGTAGCTTGCCTGGCTCTCCAAGAGGGGCGGAGGAATCGAACCCGGCTCGGCCGGCCGGCTGCGCGCAAGGCAAACACCCTACCGCTGTGCTATCGCTCCAGCCCAAGTTACTATAAAGATAAAAAAATGTATAAAACATTTAGGGTAGGTTCAGGAGCAATAGAACAATGAATAGGACTTTTGCTGTGCAGTGGCCAACCCAGGTTTGATCCCTGGCATCCCATATGGTCCCCCAAGCCCCACCAGGAGGAATTTCTGAGTGTAGAACCGGAGTATAGTGTAGAGCCCTAAGCATAGTGTCACCCAGAAACCAAAAAAAGAGAAAGAGAAAAAAACAAGAACAACAAAATACTCCTTAATATTTTTTTTTCATTGTAACACCATGATTTACAAAATTTTTTGTAATACAGTTGTTTCAGGGCTGGAGCGATAGCACAGCGGTAGGGCATTTGCCTTGCACGCAGCCAACATGGCCGAACCCGAGTTCGATTCCTCCGCCCCTCTCGGAGAGCCCGGCAAGCTACCGAGAGTATCTCGCCCGCACGGCAGAGCCTGGCAAGCTCCCCGTGACATATTCGATATGCCAGACACAGTAACAACAAAGTCTCCAATGGAGACGTTACTGGGCCCGCTCGAACAAATCAATGATCAACGGGAGGGCTTTTACCTTTTACCTTTACAGTTGTTTCATTCATTCAGTGTTCCAGCACCAACTCCACCACCAGTGTGACCTTCCCTCCATCACTTTCCCTAGTTTTCCACCCCCACCCCCCACCCCAAACCTGCCCCCTTAGCAAATTTGCTCAAAAAATAGATAATAGGGGCAGGAGCGATAGTACAGCAGATAGAGCAATTGACTTGTGCATGGCTGACTCAGGTTTGATCCCCAGCATTCCATATGGTCCCCAAGCACTGCCAGGAGTAATTCCCGAGTGCATAAACCCCTGAGCATTATTGGGTGTGACCAAAAAAAAAACACATAATAAATTTTTTTTTAATGAATAAAAGTCAATTTATGATGATTGCTATATGTCACGGTGTTGTTACTAATGTCATTGAGGATTTTCAGGGCTGACTGGTTAGTACTAAGTTGAACTTTCTGTGTAACTGTTTTTGCTCACTGAGCTTGGTGATCTTTTACGCAGCTTTCCTATTAGAATTTGCTGTGGCCCTACTGTGATGACAGTACTCTAAAATTTGAAGGTGTGGATCTGGAACCGTTTGGCTTGGTGACTTGCTAGGGGTTCAGTTGTGGAGCTGGGCTGTTTCTCTGTCAGAGGGTGTCAGGTGTGGCTGGGGCTGCTGTACCTTCAGGCAGGAAGGGGAATCTGCCGTCCCCCATTCTGAGAAGGTCCCAGAAAAACATTTTTCTTTACGAGATTGGTCAAGGATCATGGACAGGCATGATATAGACAGGAGGTAACTATGTACATCAAAATCTTATGAGTCAACACTAGTGTAAACTTGTAACCCAAACTATATAATAATTAAATTTGAAAAATGAATTTGCTAAGGAGGTGGGGAATGACCTGAGACAAATGGCATAAAAGAAAAAAAGAATGTGTGTGGGGGGGGGTTTGGTGGGGAGGGGTTGTGGGGGTTTTTGGTGGTTTTTTTTTGTTTTTTGTCTCATTGTTATCTCAGAAGCCTTTTAATTTGTTTGTAGTTAAGTTTGATTTTGTATTCAAATCTACTGAATGAAAAATTCTGCTAGATAAAATAATAGAAGAAAACTTCACCAAAGAAGAGGAGAGACAAACCTGGTCTCTCAGGGTTCTAGAAAAATAACTTGTTTGTTAACTTTTGAATAGTATTGATAAAAATCAGGGGAAGCAGAGAACCCAACTGGGTCTTATTTTGCTGTGTTTCGTGGGACTTAGGGGTGTATCTCAATTCATTTTCGTCTTTTCACAAATATTTTTTGAGCATGTACTCCATACAAGACACTTTTTTGCTTTTGATCTTATTTAATGCTATCATATTCCATTGTTTCTAATTTGTGATTTGAATTTTGTTTGCTTCAGGCTGAAAGAACCACATACCATATCCAGAATTCAAAAGTTTCTCATCTGGCTTTCTGATATGTAAGAATTTAAAATTTTATAACATAGAAATTATTTTTTAGCTTTATTTGTTAACTACTACACATGTAATTTTGTACAAGCTTCCTATTTGCAGTATAAAAGAAGGGTATGTTGATCTATCATAGAGGAATGTATATGAATTATTAGGGTTTATTTGGTTTTTTGTTTTTTTGGGGGGGCTCACACAGTGATGCACAGGGGTTACTCCTGGCTCTGACCTCAGGAATTATCCCTGGCAGTGCTCAGGGGATCATATGGGATGCTGGGAATCGAACCCGGGTTGGCCGCATGCAAGGCAAACGCCCTACCTGCAGTGCTTATCGTGCCAGCCCCCAAGTGTTGTTGTTTTTTTTTTAATTAAAATTATTTTTGTTTTTTTTTTATTTGGGGCCACACCTGGTGATGCTCAGAGCTTACTCCTGGCTCTGCACTTAGGAATTACTTCTGGTGGTGCTCAGAGGACCAAGGATCAAACCTGGGCTCGCCATGTGCAAGGCAAGCGCCCTACCCTCTGTACAATCTCTTCGGTCATGTGTATGAATCCTTTAGAACTTACTCAAGGACTGGAGATGCGGCTCAGTGGTAGAACATTTGCCTCACACGTATGATGCCCTGGGTTCAATCACTGGCACGGCAAAAATAAAATAAAATTCCATAATGATGAGTCATTTAGAGTTAGATTATCTTAAATACTCACAAAACCTTGGGTGGGGGACCAAAGAGACAGCTCATGTGGTAGAAGACATGCCTTGCATGTGTGAGGTCCTGGGTTTGATTTCCAAGCCCCACATATCTCTTCCCCCAGCACCACAGCCTCCTCCACCCCTACTCCCTTGCACTTCCAGGTGTATCCCTAGTAGTCCTTTTCCCCAGCATCACCAGGAGTGACCCCCCCTACTCCGCAAAGGAAAAAAATGAAAGCACCTTTAGAACCAGGGAGATACCTCAAAGGCTGGAGCTCATGATGTGTCTGTGGAGCCCCAAGTTTGATTCCTGTCACTGCATGGTACCCTGAGAATCATTCTAGGAGTAGCCCCTGAGCACAACCTTGTGTTACCTAAAAATTGAAAGGGGGGAAAAAAAGGAACAAAACTCTTGATCTCCTGGGGATCTGGTGGCAACAGGAAGAGAAAGAAGGTTTCGGATACCAGCAGCAAGGAGTGAAAATAAATCCCGAAGTGAAACAAAGGCATTCACAGAAGCAGCTCTTAATACTTGAAGCCGTTGCTTAGGGATTAAATTCAGCCAAGAATATAAACTTCTTGGGCCTGAAGAGATAGTACAGTGGGTAAAGGCACTTGCCTTGCACATGACCAACCGAGGTTGAATCTCTGACAATCCCTTATGGCCCCTTGAATACCATCAGGAGTGACCCCAGAGCACAGAGCCAGGAGTAAGCCTTAACTAAGCATTGCCAGGTGTGGCCCGCAGAGAACAAAACAAAAAATAATAATTTACACTGCAAAATGACTAAATTAGAACTAAGAATTACTTTCAGTTCTTCTTTAGTAGGTCCAAGAAGTACCTAAATCTGTTTCTGCTTTCCTTTTTAGCTTACTGATGAGAAAAGCTTTATTTAACCACCTCACTGCCCGGGGGATTCAAGTAAGTTCCTGGAATGCAGCATTTTGAAAAGACATAGTTCACAGTTCAGTACAACTTGAAAAGGCCAGAATTAATAAATGACTTGGTGTGGATCCAAGTCCAATGGTGTTGCCTCACAGTTAATAAGAGAGCATCGGCATTTCTGTTGCTGGGGTCCACTTGGTATAGGTGTGAGAAGAGGAGCTTAAATCAACTGTGAATATTTAAGGAAAGTGGAACTTTAAAAAATAAGAGTGCAGTAAGTTCTTAAAGACTTAAAGAGCTATTTCTAACTGCTGAGATTGTATGGGTAAATACTGTTATAAGAATACTTTTCTGTATTAACATTTCTTATGCTTCTCATTTTCAGGTGTATGTTTGGGTTTTAAATGAAGAACAGGAATACAAAAGAGCCTTTGATTTGGGAGCAACTGGAGTCATGACAGATTATCCAACAAAGCTTAAGGATTTTTTACATAAATTTTCCATGTAGGAAAGGATATCACTCTCTAACGTTCAGGGAAGATATGAAAAGACCTAAGAAAAAATATTTTTACTTTCATTTCCCAAAGCCATCATTTTCCAGAATGGTAAAAGGTTAATCAATTAAGTTTTTATTACCTCATTTTTAAACCTGTATGAGAATGTAGAAAATGTATATTGTGTATTTATTTTAAATAATATTGCATAGGTTACATTGTAAATAGTTTAGAAGATACTGAGATGCAAGTAGAAAATTATTGATCAAGATTTTTGTATATAATGCAGTAATCTCCTATTCTAGGTAATTCTGAAATCAAAGATTATTGGACAAATTTACATTTACCTTCACCAAATAAAATAATTTCATTAGTGAAACAGTTACTGAAGACCATTATAACTTCTGAATTGTCTTGCTATTTCTGTGTGCATCTTAGTTAAAGAAGGAAAATAAAGTGAAAGGAAAGGTTAGGAATCAGCGATATTGTTATCTGGCAAGTTGTACATTGTTACTAGAAAGTAAACTCAGATAACTGAAAGTTTATTCCTTGATCAGAACTAAAATCTGTAGACTGAATTAGATTTCTGATTGCTATTAATGTGGACATTCTATTTGGAATCCTGTTCGGGCATGTAACAATGCTACACTTTCAAAAAAAATCCAACTAAAATTATTATTGTAAACTTAGATCCAAAAAGCCATATTTTTTATGTTTCCTATAAAGAAATATAAAATTTTCATTTCAGACAAGATCTGTTTATTTGGGCCAACAGCTAGATTTTAAGGAATATCTTATATGCTAAAATTATAGGAAACTGATGAAAATATCTATCAGTGTTTCTAATGCTTATTGTATAAACTGCCTGCCCTTTTTATTTTTAAAGAGTCTCTTCTTTGGGGGCTGAGAGATAATACAGTAAATAGGATACTTGCCCTGCATGTGGCCAACCTGGGTTTGATCTCCAGCATCCCATAATGGTCCCCTGAGCCCTGCCAGTAGTGATCCCTGAGCACAGAGCCAGGAATAAGCTCTCAGCATTACTGGATGAGGCCCAATAAACAAAAGAAAAAACAGTTAATTCTTCTGAGTATTAAGTATTAAGTATTAATTTTTCTAAGTAAAATAAAATTTCCCAAATATTAATTAGCACTTTCTTAGCTTTTCTGGTGTGACTTCATGTAAATCTCTTTCAAAGTTTTTGCCTAATTTTCATGATCTCTTTGGAGGTATAATCTGAAATAATAAGTGTCTTCTAGTTAGATTATCTCTCTCAATTTGACTTTGCCAGCTGACAACTGTGAAGAATAATCCTACTTTCCCACCTGCCCTTTAATAACAAAAATGACATTTGTGGGTGGTTTTTTTTTTTTAATTTAAACCTAAATAAAGTTTTCCAAGAACAAAATAAGAATCCTTATTGTTGTTTTTATAGTTGTAATTCCAAATGTGCTTTAAAATTTATTTTCAATGAATGTGACTTATGTTCCATCCTTCCCTTCCTCACTGTTGCTGTGACATTAGGGTCACATACACACCTGACTGTGGTGCTTGCCAGGTCTGTTTGTGAATTGAGCTGCCTGCTGTAGTGCTCCCTAGGAACAGCGGTGGTGCTCACACATGTGCAGGCCCAAGATTGCACTTCTTGGCCCTGGTACTAGAACTTCTTAGTTGTGGTGCACAACAGGGGCTGCGCCCTTTTGTGGTGCTGACCCACACCAGGAACCCACACCAGGAGTGGCCAGTTCTTCGTGCTTATGGGAGACCAGCAAGCTAAACTTGTGTTGATATGCTTGTAGGCAACGTATCCTAAACCCCTCCCAGCGCCAAATGATCATATTTATATATTGTTAGCAAGGGAGGGGGACAAATTTAAAGAAGTGACTAAATAGTAATATGAGTAGGTTCAGTTACAATTTTTTTTTTTTTGGCTTTTTGGGTCACACCTGGCGATGCACAGAGGTTGCTCCTGGCTTTGCACTCAGGAATTACTCCTGGTGGTGCTCAGGGGACCATATGGGATGCTGAGAATCGAACCCGGGTCAGCTGCTTGCAAGGCAAACGCCCTATCCGCTGTATTATCTATCTAGCCCTCAGTTGCAATTTCTATAGTAAAAGAAAATAAAACAGGCTGGAATGATAGCATAGCAGGTCGGACACTTGCTTTGCACATGGTCTAGTCGTGTTGGATCCCCAGCATCCCAATATGGTCCCCCCAAACACAACCAAGAGTAATTCCTGCGTGCAGAACAAAGAGTAACTCTGAGCACCACTGGATGTGACCCAAAAGGAAACAAAAAATACAAGAGGGGACTGAGCAATAAATAGTACAGCGGCACCATATGTGGTCTGCTGACCATCAACAGGAGTGATCCCTGAGAACAGAGCTGGAGTAAGTAGCCCTTTGAGTACTACCAGATGTGGCCCAAATACTGAAAAAAAATAATAATAATAACGTTTGATAATTTATAGTCAGGGTAACTTTAATTCACTTAAGAACATAGTAGCAACAATGACAGTTAACATTGGGGTTCTTTTTGTTATTTTTGGCCACACCAAGCAGTGCTCAGGGCGTATTCCTTGCTCCACACTCCTGGAGGTGCTCAGGAGACCATATGGGATGCCGAGGATCAAACCTGGGTCAGCAGTGTGCAAGGCAAACACCCTCCCTATTCATTGCCCAATGGGGTAAGGGGTAGGAAGGAATGAAGAGGTGAACTAGAAGTAATGTTGGGACACTGGCAAAAGGTATAAGGAAGGGTCCAGAGAGATAGTATAGTGATCAAGGGACTTGCTTGCTAGTGAGTCACCCCAGTTCAATCCCCAGCACAAGATATGGATCATGAGTGTCACAAGGAGTGACCGCAGGGGCAGGAGCGATAGTACAGGGGGTAGGGCATTTGCCTTGCATGCAGCTGATCTGGGTTCAATCCCTCACATCCTATATGGTCCCGCAAGCACCGCCGGGAGTATAACCCCTTAGCACAGACTCTGAACACAGAGTCAAGAGTAAACCCTGAACACTCCTGGATATGACCTTTAAAAAACTGGAGAAGCTGGAGCTATTGTATAGCAGGTAGTGTGTTTGCCTTGCATGCAAATAACCTGGGTTTGATTCCCAGCATCGCATATGGTCCCCCAAGCACCGCCAGGAGTAACCCCTGTGCATCGCCAGGTGTGAACTAAAAAGCAAAATAAACTGGACCAGAATGATAGTACAGTGGGGTGGAACACTTGTCTTGCACACAGCCAACCTGAGTTCAATTCTTGGCACCCCATTTGTTTCCATGAGCTCTCTAGGAAGATCTCTGAGTGCAGAGCCAGGAGTAAACCCTGAGAACTTCTGGGTGTGGCCCCACAACTAAAAAGTAAGGGAAGCAAAAATCAAGAAATAATGAAAATTTTTTATACAAGAGCTTAATGGCTCCACGGTGGGATACAACAATCTTCACACATTTTCTTTTAATGAAGTCTTTTTGACCATTTTCAGTGAATTAATCATAACAAGCAATACAAAATAGATCATTTACAGTCTGCTATTGGAGCAGACTTGGGTGGTGGTTGGGAAAATTGGAAATAATGGTGGTGGGAAGGTGTAATGGGAATGGGATTGGTGTTGAAATATAACAAATCACTGTGAGCAATGTTATAAAAATAAAATATTTTAGAAGAGAAAGAAAAAATTTTCTTTAATGTCCCCTGATCTAGTGTTTTATGTCAGATTATCACCCTGTCAGTTAAAGATAAACTCCTCCCACATCCCCCACCAAGAAGATACTGCAAAGTCTTTGTGCCTCCTGAGCACTGCTTGAGAGCCCTTTCCCGTTCCCCCCCTCCTTTCTCGTTCCCCACCCCAAAGGAAGTTATTAGCTAACTCTGTGGTTAGCGCCTACCTTTGATAAAAATCTACCAAGAAGCATCGCAATACAGTTTGTAATATAGGCTTTTGAAGATTGCAGACACAGGAAAGATAGAAGAATTCTTATTTGTACAAACTCTTCAAGCTGGTCACACTGCAGTTAAGTACCATACAAGATCCAAAAGTTCTATAAAAACACAGTAGAAGGGTCAGAGAGAGCTCAATGGACCGAGCACATGCTTTGCATGCAGGAGACCCAAGTTCAGTTTCTGGCACCGTATCATCCTCTGAATACTAGGAGTGACCCCTGACAGGTGTGTCCCCTAAACAAAGCGAAAAAACAATATATTTTCATTCCACCAATAGTCAAAATAGAAAACTGCATCACATCACAGCTGTTTGCTGGTTCAATTTAAAAGTTCAAAACTAGGGCTGGAGTGATAGCACAGCGGGTAGGGCGTTTGCCTTGCATGTGGCCAACCCGGGTTCGATTCCCAGCATCCCATAAGGTCTCCTGAGCACTGCAAAGAGTAATTCCTGAGTGCAGAGCCAGGAGTAGCCCCATGTGCATTGCCGGTGTGACCCAAAAAGCAAAATAAATAAAGCTCAAAACTCCTTTTTGTGATTTGACCCAAAGATATCTACATTCCAGATAAATTCATTTCAAAGATGGGAATGATGGCAGACTCCACAAAACAAAACACAAGAATATTCTCCTAGAAGTTGATGTCCTTCCAAGGCTAATACAGAAATAAAACTTTTGGAAGCAAAAAAACTACGACATCCAATAATTCCAGCAGTGAAAAGGATTCTTGCCATTCCCTACAAAGAAAATATCACTGCAAAGCTGCAAAGGATGATGGGAAGAAAAGCGTCCCAAGAATATTTGCCAGACAACCAAATGAAGCACGTGTCACCCTCATTAAGTTTAATGAACAGAACATTTCCGAGATATCCAACTGCACAGATTCCATATGCAGAGCCAAACTGGATTTTTCCAGCAAGGAAGAACGTGATTTCAAAGGCTAGGTGAAACACCCTGGGTTCTGCCAAATCGGTCTCACTCATGACAATGCCATCTGCTACTTGAACTTACCTGGGCACCGTGATTTATAATGGTGTTAATGTTTCAGGACTGGAATGATAGCTGGAGCACGTGCTTTGCCTGCAGGAAGCCGGGGCTCCATCTCAGCACTGGAGGAGTGATCCCCAAGTACAGACAGAGTATCCCCCAAGCACTGCTGAGTGAGACCAAGAAACAAAGGGCTCATGAGGTCAGAGAAATAGTATAGAGGGCAGGGCCCTTGTCTTGCATATGGTTACCCGAGTTCCATACCCTGCACTGCATATGTTTCCCTCAGCCCCGTAGGAATAATTCCTGAATGAGCACAGAACAAGGAGTAAGCCCTGAGCACTGCTGTGTGTGCCTCCACAAAAAAAGGCTGAACAGACTAATTTATTGAGAGAGTATAAAAAATTTTGTTTTCTTTTTTTCTTTCGTTTTATTCAGTATTATCTCTGCCCCACCATACCGAGCAAGTGAATTCCAGCTGAGAAGTTACAGAACTATTCCTGCCCTCCTTGGTGCTTCCAGTCTAGTTAGGCTGTGATGGTGAGCTGAGCAAGGAGCTGTAATACCTCTTTTGTTTCTTCCTTGTTTGTGACTTGGGGGCCATACCTGGTGGTGCTGAGGGCTTCTCCCAGCTTGGTGCTCAGCTGTGACTCCCAGCTGGTGCTCAGAGGGATCATGCAGTATCAAGGATCAGACTGGGACCTCTTGCATGTACTCCAGCCATTTAACTCTTTCTCTGGCCCCTTTTATTGGTGGGGGAGTGCTCTCAGAGATCCCTCCTGACAGTGCTTGAGGGACCATGCAGTGTTAGCAATCAAACCCAGGCTTCTTACATGCAAAACATCTCTACAAACTTGTGGGCCCCTATTTTTATTTATTTACTTTGGGTTTGGGAGCTATACCAAGTGGTTTTCAGGTGCTGTTCCTGCCTCTGTGCTCAGGAGTGAACTCTGGCAGTGCTCAGGGGACACTGTGCGATGCTGGGGATTCAAACAGGTACGCAGCAGCGTGCAAGGAAAGTGACTCACCTCCTGTGCTATCTCTCCAGCCCCAGTCCCCTAATTTTTTTCTTGTTTTGATTTGGGGTCACACCTGGCTGTGCTCCGGGCATACTCTTGGCTCTGTGCTTGGAGATGACTTCTGACCTTGCTTGAAAGACATATGTGGAACTGGCTTCTTGCAACGATAACACTTAATCCCTTCATACTCCTCGAACTATTCTTCTGACCCCAGGCCTTTATTTTATTTATTTATTTTTGTTGGTTTTGTTTTGGGGACACACAGGTTATGCTCAGGCCTATTCCTGGCTCTGCACTAAGGAATAACTCCTGACAGAACTTGGAGGACCAGATAGAGTGTCTGGGATCAAACCCGGGTCAGCCACATGCAAAGCAAGTGCTTTATCCCACCATACTATTACTCCATGCCCCCAAGACCTTTATTTTTAGATATTCTTTTTGCTGGGGCCAGAGAGATAGGATAGGGAGTAAGGCACTCATCTT